AACAACAACAGCTGAAGCAGCAGCAACAACAACAACAACATCAGCTGCGAATCATCATTATCATCATCACAAGCTGCAGTAGCAAGACGGACTTGGTAGGACAACGTTTGATGATGATCACGGATGATGCTGCTGCTGATGCCGTTGCTGCTGCCGATGATGGTGATGGTATTGAAGATATTGCGGCTTAGGTGATAACATAGATATTAAAAATGTATAATAAACAAATGTACCACCGGCTTTTTTTTAAATATATATAAAAATATTTCACCAAATTTTTTAAAAGTGTATAATAAACAAATATTTCACCGATTTATTTAAAAATAATATGACGGTTATAGAAACATTTTTTACCTATTTTTTGTAAGTGTTTGATAGAACAATATTTCTGCAATATTTTTTTTGCACCAAATAAGCGCAAAACATATATCTTGAGTATCGTACTGCAATATCCCTGTAAACAATAATATATTTTCGCCTTGCACTTAATCATGTTTTGTTTATTTCTTGATGCTTGAACAAAATGATTAATCACTTCAAGAAACTAATCATTACTGGTGTTAAATGAAGAAACATAGTCGTGACCCGACTTGGGCTCGGACCCACAACCCTGAGTTTGACAGGCAGGCACACATCTTAGCCTTTAGGCCACCACTGCCCCTTATCATTGTATCATCCACACCTTGTGATTCATCAGGAAAAATCACATTACATTCTGCTAGCGCGTTAATGGCACATATGCTGCAACAATGAAAAAGTTAAAATGCATGTTAAATTATGTCAAACACCTGGTTTGAAACAATTTCGAAAATAACCATGATGTTATAAGGCATAACGTAACGTTTAAGGAGCAAGTTATAAATGTGGCGTGAACAGAATGTCATTCGTACTTTATCCTCTCTTGCGCACCTGTACTGTAAATATTATACGCCTCACCAATTTAATTTTGTAAATACTTAAAAATGAACTTTAACCAGTTTAATTTTGTAAATACGTACTATGTATAGGTTAAAGTTTATTATATTCAAATTAAACTGGTCAGGCACGGCACAGCCGCACGACAATTCAAATATTGCTAATACGTTCAAATAAACATTAACCAGCTTAGTGTTTTAATAACCAGTCGATTTACTATACTTATTACTAGACTGATTAACAGTTTGCCGATTCACCAAAGTAAATATGTTGCGATTCATTTGAAATACTACAATCCTATTGGACAAAAAAAATAATTTAAACACTAATGTCATTATATATGTCGTAATTTATATTCTGATGAAAGAATAAATTGCTTTTACTGTAGTTTTATCAACCAATAGTGAAGATATTTTATGCTGCTATTGTTCATATATTGTAATTATTCTTTAAGGTAAACCAAACACTCTTTTTGCATTTGAAAACGTTTTTTTAATTTTTATTTGTGCTCAATTCGTAATTATTAATGATGCTTGATTATTGTTAAACAAGTTTCAGTAGTATTTAGTTCAATATTTTAATATATTTAATATAAACAATATATATAACAAGTATAAGGTCGTTTTTAATATGATAAGGCAATTAGATAAACTGCTTTAATCCAGGTGACCTTTTTAATACATTTTATGACGCTTCTAATTTTTATTATTTATTTTTTACCATTAATCACACGATCACACTTTTGCATACAAATTTTATAAAGATTTAAATTCTATAGATATCATTTATGTCAATAGACCGTAATTTATTGAATATACTAACCCTAACTCTGGTTCTCTACGTGGGGTATAAATGCAGAACATAGGCGTATCATGTCCTTCAATTCAAAAGATTAAATCTCAATGACGTCTTTATGACACTTTGTAAATGTAGACTTTCATATAAAAAAAAATAATTGCAAATCAAGTTTACAGGCGATTTCTTTACTAAACTAGTTTGCGTTTGTTCGAAGATTATATCTTTCTATTTGCTCTTATTAAATAACCGATTAGAAATTTAAAAAGAAATATTATTAATAGGGAATCAAGTTAAAAATATGATAACTGTATTTTATCATACGTTATATGTTAAAACAGAGAATGAATTAAAGTAAATACCAGGACAATTGAATTGAATTTTAACAAAGAAGGAAAGAGATTAAACGAATAAAGATATATTAATAATTTTATATTCTTGATCACTTAAACTTATAACTCTACAATATATTTATAAAGTGCTACCTGCACTAGAGCCAAACATAACTTGTAAGTAAATATATCAATAGAAATGTCCTGACGCGTTTGGAATTCATTAGGGTACATCACATCGACTCCTGGGACAGTGGAAACGATATTAAAAAAAGAAGTTTCTTCCACACAGTCAAACTACCAAACAAAACAATAATCGGATTGAATAAAATAATTATAAACATTCACTTATTAAGACTGATGATACCGACATTTCATACAATAACGTTATGTTATTTCAAAACAATAATTTGAAGTAAATGTGTACATTTGGTGACTGGAACCTAGATCACAATTTACAATATAAAATATAATCACAAAACATCTTTAAAATAAGACAAGGTACTTTTTATGTTATAATATTTTCTGACGTGACAAATCGTCTATTGCACTTATTTTAGGTTAATGTACACAATAGAGAGTCTTACAGCGCAATAAGATAAAATGCGATTAAATTATTCTAAAGTGTCCTACGTGAAGAAAGATCGATACCGCGAAGGTTTATGTTTTTTTTTGTATTTTTGTTTTCTCTCAACATTATTGAAGCCATGATTGTTTCATGTTGTACCTTGTGTTATTTTTAAATACTTTTTGCACTTATTTTGGTGAATTATACTCTTTTGAGATGACATTTTAACAATCAATATTTAGAATTAGTTCAGATTAAAATCATTAAAAAGCTCAAATCAAATCGAGACAAAACACTGTTTCTAATTCATGTCCGTGAAGACAGTTTGCAAGCTCTCGACCATTTCTATTACATTATACTGCCATTATAAACAAAAGAGTAGGTCTTAAAAAATGGCAACTATATGAATCGAACCAAGTCCCTCTTGTTTATTAGGCAATCACTATATCGACTGTGCTATAGCGGATGTGACGACAACATATACTTTAAGCTGGTGTGACTTTTCAAACTATAACTTATATACTCCATATCTATTCTCGTTAACCACACAGACAGAACCGATGTGGGATTGTGTATTTTAATACATACTTGACTGCTCAATAAAATCAAATTATACAAATCTCGAAACCCTGACCATCATACTTGTGTGCACGAAATAATTTTAAATAGACATTAAGAATTGATTTAGTATTGGTCTGAACTGTGTTTTTTAACAATTTTACACTGTTTTTTCGTTTTGATGCAAATTGTCAAAATACTTTATTGTAAATAACACTCATGCATCCTGTGATCGTTTGGAAAACCCTATTAATCATGACATTCACTCGTCAATGACCTTGACCTTGAAGATCAAATTATTGACCTTGCAAGGTCACACTATTTGAATTAGCTAAAATTTATAACTTTGATCTTTCGTCACAAATGTGATTTATACTTTGACAAAAAGAACACATATGCAAAAACTAACATGTTAAAGTATTCTGTTATGACCTTGATCTTACTATTAAGGTTAACTGTCAAAGTCAAATTATTTGAATTTACGTAAATTGTCATAACTTTGTTATTTATTTACATATTAGGTTTACTTCGACATACGAACATATATTACTTTATAAATTGTTTTAAAAATAAGAAAAGTCTTTAATAAGACCATGACATTCAAAGTAAAATTAATAAAGTTGTCACTTCTTTGTTATTCATTTAGAGATTTGAGTAAAACTAGGACAAAACCGATATGTTAAATTATTCTGATATGACAATGAACATTAATTGACCTTAAATTTACGAACAGTGCTATTGATTTATGAAATAAGTTTATTCTTGGACAAAATACCAATTATTACAAAACTGGCAATGACGATTTATTGTGACCTTGACCGTCAGTATATCTTTTATAACAATAAAATGTATTTAATGTGTTGACCTTAATAGTAAGGAAAAGTTGTATATGATAAATCTGTCCCACTATTTTTGTTATATGCCATTGCCTAGTAGACCTCTTTTAATGTTTTATTAATCATACACTTAGGGTCAAAAATGCTTCCACCTTAGATATCATACAGTATCGCTAGGATAATGAAGATAAAATATTTTTCAGACAAGTTTCTTAATTGCGTGTCTACCTTAAATGGAAGGTTATTTTCATTACTTGTTATTTAATTCGTACCTAGGACTAGTCTTAAAATTCTACGAACAAGAGGAACTATATTATTCGCCGAATCCATACCAATTAAGTCAGATAGACAGAGTTACTTCCTTTGTGGATATTGTTTGCAAAAGAACTAAGAGTTTGTTTTGTGGCTTATAATTACTTATAATAATAACTGATGATAACTTGCACTTTCCAGTATCGTCGATGAACAGGCTCAATCAAACCAAGCCTGCAAAATGTTTAATATTGTCGTGTTGGGCTTTAGGGATTATCATTTATTCTATTTTATTGTCACATCCGTGTTATTTGTGCCGTGTGGCGGATGTAAAAAGTTTCCCCGTACATTTAATCAATGATGTTATATTTTCGATCCTTGATGATCGTTCTTGGTTCTGTGAGGATTGATTATGATCAATTTTACCAGATACATTTGAAATGTGATACCAAACAGAGAGTACGTGTTCAGACGTCGAAATTGTTTCATTGATTTTGGTGCCTTAATTCACAAAGTTTAAATAAAATATCCCCTTTCGGTTTGTGTAAGTATACAATGTTAGTCTAATTTGTATGGTGAAAATAAAATAAATATTTTATTCAAATAATAATCTTCTGATAGTGACCATGCCTTTATTGTCATCAAAGGTCACGGTTCATTTACTCGGTCAAGCTTTCTGGGCTAAAGTTGGTTTTCCTTAGATTCTTACAAATGTAGTTAAAGATTCTTCTTTTTTCCAGATATCGAGATGGCGCACGAGGTACATTTAAAAAACAACAAATACCGGCAGTGGGTCAAGGCAGGCCTAGGCTTAGGTTACCTGAAAGAGGGACTAGCACCATTTTGTGATGGCATAGGAAAACAGCAGCACAAAGATATTATAAACCAAATTCAAGGAACAAAGACCCCAAAACCAAATGTACCATGTGGCGTCTGTCAGTTAACAACTCTCCAGCCCGACCACGTCCGAGTCTCGAAAGGAATATGTCCACACAAGCAAGATTATTGTAACTGTTGCTTTCCAAATCATAAGAAACCCTGCCCAAACAACGTGTGTGGTGCCATCTATGACAGCATTATACAGAATCATTCATCAAAACCACCGGCGCCTTTTTGGCAAAACAGCGATGCCCATGATTGGTCCACTGACCCATGGAGCATTTGTAAATGTTTTATAAATGCTCCTGGGTACAAAGACAAGACATCAGCAGTCGACACAGACTGTACAGGATTACTACATGTTATCATAAATAACAAATATTTTCATAATCATATTGGATGCAAAGTAACACGACCAAACAATCTGTTTTTAAAGGTAATCCATTTGTATTCTATTTGTTTATTTATTTATTATTTAATTTGTCGAATATTATTACATGTATTATAAGAAATAACCCGTTAACTATGGTGAAGATACTATCTTCTATATTGAAAGAGAATATGGACTAAATCTTACAGTAAAGCTTAATATTCTCTTTATTTAAATTAGATAGTATTTAAACACTTACTGCACTAAGGTGACATTATGTCAGTAACTGTAACTTAAAGCTGCTATCCCATACATTGTAAAAATATCATCAAAAACTAAAAATTCATGACAGGCTCGTACATGGAACTAGATCATAAGTACCCTTTTTGTTGGAAAAATAAACATATTGTAAGGTTTTTGCACTGTTGAGGATTCTGTTATTTTAAACTGTTTCGTCGTTTTATTCTGTAAATATTGATTTAAAGTATACACACACATGTTGAATCCATTGGTTGAGAGTAGATCATTGTGTTCTTGTCCATTATATTATCCTGCAATCAATTACTGCAAAACATATCATAGAAAACTATGTCTATAAAAAGATTAACATATATTTGTAATCATGTTTAAAAGTGACATTTATATAGTAAGTTATACATGCAACAAGCTGCCTTATTCGCAACATGTTCACGGGAGTGACAAAAAGGTTGCTTATATATGTGTCAAGTGAAACATAACAACCGTTAAGTCACAGTTATCTCGTGAAAACTGCACATTATACTTCTATGAATATTTAATAACAGAAAAAATATATATGTTGATGTTTTTTTACCCTTTTTGAGTGGTAGAGTAGCTTTAATTAATTTCAAAATTTACCATTTCATGTTTAAATGTTGAATTCTGCTTAACCCGGTGCTAGGGGGCGTGGACGGTAGTTTGCACTTGACAGTAGATCTACCGTCCATGAACAGACTAAATCAAACTGAGCCTGCAACATTTTCAATTTTGCTGTTTTGGACTTTCTATAGGGATTCTTATTTTTCCTATCTATGTAGTCTTACTGTGATTTTACCCCGCCAAAATATTCTAACATTGGCCAATATCGTAGAAAATCGTTTCCGGAACGGTATTTTTTCAAAATCTTTGGCATATAACATTACATGTATTTACAATCACATTTGCTTTATTGATATGTACTAAATTATTAACGGTTTAAAATAATCTGAACATCTTATTACCTTTATAAGTTAAAAGATAACTGTAACCTTTAAACTTTCTTTATTCTATTAATTATTGTTCTCAATTCGGCATGTGGTGTGGTTTGACTCTGACTAACTGCTAATTTCAATGCACGTAAACACTTTTTGATACACAATGAAAGTAGAATAAAGGCAAATACAAATATAATTTATCAAATTTCTAAATATTCTCCAAAATAGGCACTAAATGCTAACTGACTAATTGTTGATGCCCTTTTAATGTACTAGTGTCCGTCCAATACGTATCTAACAAATAAAATAAGTAAAATGTTCATGGTGCACATCAAAGACGCTGCCAAATGATGTGAACAGTCACAGGTAATGTACAAAATCAGCATTGACAATTGTTCCCTATAACTGTTGAATATTCGAAGCACTAATCAAATTTTTAGAGGTAAAGAAAAATATCTCTGTTTCGCCGAGAATATGTCCGTTTAAATATCGGTGCGAATTGCAAAATGTTCGAATGATTTTGAGGACGAACTGTTCTGTTATTTTACAAATATACAAATATATGTCGGCAATTTCAAATAATAGTTGACTATTTATAGACTGTTAAATATAATCAATATTAAGTTTCGTATTGTTTACTTATTTATTAAAGATTAAACTACTTGATTAAACACAAGATTGCATACTTGCCAGAAATTTAGGTATAGAACCACTAAATGAATTAATAAAAATAGGCAAAAATGAACAATCAACACAGAAGCCTTCAAAATAACCTACTGCAAATATTGTGATAATTTTTTTTTTTCACTCAGTTTAACTGTTTTATAACTAAAATGTTAATCATTATCATGACTAATCATACGTTTTGCCTGTTCTGCAAAAACAAATATTTCCCTTGCGCCCGAATCCGTTGCGTATTAACCCTTTCACTGCCATAGGGACGGCTTATGCCGTCCCTGTTATTTTCGGCGTATTTGCCATATGGACGGCTTTAGCCGTTTCTATAATAATAATATTAATAATAATAAATTAATAATAATAATAATAATAATAAATATAAAGAACATTATACCAACGACAATAATAATTATTATTATAACAGATTTTGAAACATATATAAATATTATAATACTAATAACAAAGAATTATAATAATATTAATTAATAATATAGTAATTTCTTAGAAAACCCTCTGGCAAATAGGTGATCAATAAAACAATAACCCTCTGGCAGCGAAAGGGTTAAAGTCATACCCTTTGTTCCCAGTCCGAATTTGGTTCCCGTCATTACAATATAGACTGACTCATTGACACGGTATTTTTAGGTAAATAAAAGTAGAGCGTAATGCAAAGAATATGCTATTAAAACATAGCACTAGCACTTCAGTTAAACGTGTATTTCAAATTCTTAAAGCTCGGTGACATGTGGTTCATCAGAAAAGCTATTTTATTAGAAAATCTGAAAACAGTGTGATTTTGTTAAAAGAAAAACTAAATACACAATTTAAACAAGACTAAATTTTTCCCGTCTCTTAAATGCGATCATTTCTACAGTACTTTTAATGTTATGAACACAACATAGAATTTTTGAATACAAGTATACCAAAGCAATTTACTTTCAATGTACTATGTAATAGCTCTAATTATCTATTGTATGGATTCAATATGATAGTTACAATGCGCTTATTCGCAGACAGTGTCGCTAGCATTATAATAAGGTCACATTTATGTGATTAAAATGCGTTCTGTTGAGAACTTATTAAACTTGTCTGTTTGTCATCACAAATTGACAGTTTTAAGTGAGCCAATAACGCAGCCATTCATGCCGATTTTCTTAAAATGGTACTTTGGTCGATCATAAAATATACTTCCTTTCCCCTGAAAAAAAAAACAAACAAACAAAAAAACAAAAAACAAGAGAGCGCTGCAAATGTTTCAAATGAATACATGTATTATATATTTTATGTGATCTTGGAAAACAGGGAAGGGATGTGTGGGTGTTAAAGTTGTTTGTAAGAGCTCGTAAAACGTGACCTGATTCGCCTAAATCCAATGCAGAGAGAAAGTTTCCGTGTGTTTTCTTGATGACGTAGTAGTTAGCGTGGCCAGAACTATTTGCCCGGAAGAGGTCCCTCCTATAAGCCTTCGAATAAAGTCATATATTTAAAGACTAGCTTGAAACATTTGGCGTATCTATTGAATACCGAAGATTGTGAAGAATAACGGTTCGGAAAGGATTGATTTATTACGATATTGGCGGTTCTTAGAAAATACATTGCAATTAGACTACTTAAGAGTCTTGTTTAATCTTAGTGCTGAACACTGTATAATGATACGTTTATGTTTGACTACGATTTGTTTTCCATTCAATAGGTACGACAGTATAGAAACGAGATTTTTCATTCAAGCAGTATGGAGTTAGAGGAGAGTGAGGCTAATTCTTACATTGACGATATGATAACAGTTCTACAAGATGGCAAGGAACTGGTATATAATCAAGCTGCACAACAAGCTGTCGGAAAACTCCAAGATGTAAGTGTTAGTTACGAAAAACATGCATAATTAAATAATCCTTATTGAGTTCAGTTATTATATAAAATTACATATCTCTTAATTCAGGATACATTAAGGGTAATTGGAAAGCGTGTTCGGGGTGGTTTCATTTAAGTCTGTTTTAAATAACATTAATGGCATTGATAACTTACATTGATAAAATCAAACATAAAAACCTATAAAACGTGAAAATATATAAAACAGAATGAGATTTATATGTATAGATATGAAAAAAATGAATTAGATAAATAGTCTGACTATCAGATACCAAAACCATACATCCTGTCATACTAGTTAACATTTTCATAAAAATTATGAGAGGTGAAATAAAAGACTTATTGAGATAAATTCAAAATAAAGTCAAACCTTCTGTACATATATAATATGTTGTATATATGGGTAAGTATCATGAATCAAAGAGTTATAATTTTAAAAATTAATTTATTTGTTCAACAGCTGAAGAAGGAGGACTTCATTATTACCACTGAAAGCTTTGACGAGATTCTGAACCAAATCAAAGAAGCAACAGGGAATGCTGCAACTACAGAAGAATATGACGAGCTTAAAAATAAAATAAGTGGCCTTGAGTCACAGATAGAAAGAGCAAATGAGGTAACACTTGAAGTTTCTATTATTTGTTTCCTGTTGATATACCAGTACATGTACATATAGCAACCATGGTTTTAAGAGAATTAAAATTTAAGAGAACTAAAAGGACGGACAAAGGCAAATCTACATGCCCCCTCCCTAGAGTGGTTACACAAAAGGGTATAATGAAATCATAAAGCTTGCTAATACCATTCTGTCCAAGCTAAAGATATTACTTTTCATTTAGATTTTCCTTTGTCAGTCTGTCATGACGTTCGTTCGTGCATACATGCGTTCTCATTTTATGTCACATGTAACTGTAGAAGTGCTTGAGCTATAGTTAACCAAACGTACAGAATGTTGATCAGCATGCTGATCAGCACCTGGGATTTTCGCTTGTGTATTAATTTTGTTTTGTCAGAAGTATTGCCCTTGAAAAAAATGTTAATTTTTAATTTGTGTCGTGCGCACCCCAAAACGTATTTGGCCTTCAGTCCCGCAACTGCCTAGAAATGTCGATCAGCATTAAAGTTGTGCACCTGGTTTTGCTCATGGATTTATTCATTAAATTCTCTTGACTAAGTTAAATTTGCAATTTTTCACTATGTGTATCCTAACAAAAATCATCCTAGGGTCATAAAACTTTACATAAATGTTGGTCAGCAAATGAAGTCGTTCAGCTTTGGTTTGACTGTGGAAATTTCAGATTTTTTTTAGAATAAGTAAACTTTTGCAAATTTGAACTAGTGTCGCTTGTACCTCAAACAATATTTGACCTCTAGAGTTAAGAATCTTTACAGAACTGTTTGTCAGAATGCGAAGTTGTGCATCTGGGGGTGTGCTTGTATATTTGTTTAGAATTTGTAGAGTAATTGCCATTGATTTAATAAACCATTTCCAAATGGTGTGTTTCGTGTACCTCTAAAAGTGTTGGAACTAGAATCCACAAAATGTACAGGAATGTCGATCAATATTTGAAACTGTGCATCTGGTATTTTTAAGTTATTGCTTTAATGAGTTTAGAATTGCAACATTTTCGTGCGTAACTAAAGAATTGCCATTGTCTTACTGTAATGGATTTCCCTAATAATGTGTGTAGTAAGATTTTTTTTCTGAAACTACAAGGGCTAGAGCTCAGATATTTGGCACGGAACTTTCTATACCAAGACTTTCAAAAAAATGGCTTTGATTTAAAATTTACCCTGCCGTGGTTGGTCATTTGTTTCCTATATATGTACAACTTCGAATCCCGTCAGGGACTTTGGAATTTGTTCTGTGAGGAAGCTATCCTGCTTGCCTTTTAAACGTTGGTGGTTCTACCTAGGTGCCCGAACATGCACAGATTTGCAAATGAGGTTTTCCTCCACCAATAAAGGTGGAAAGTCGTCATGTGACCAGTTTTATTGCAACATTAACCCGACTAAAGATCAAATTATTTTTACTCTGAAACTTAAAGACCTAGGGCATATAAATTTGACATAAAACATAGTCTAGTAGACCTTTAGCCTATACAGAGCGGTAGGGTGTTAAGTATGAAACAAAAGTATCTTTTCTCTAAAACAAACCGATGCTCTAAAGTTTGTGGATACATTTATTTATGAAATAAACAGGTATATTGAAAAGTAGTAATCTTGATCTTCTGTTTAGACTTGACCTTATCGTGACCTTGACAGTCTTGGCCAAGATTTTATATCTTATTTCATTTACTTTGCAATAAATGATAATAGATAGATTTGTTTCATTCTAGGCCAAGACAAATGACACTTATGACATCACCATGGTGGTGAATTTTAGTATAACTTAAGTTTAGCTTAACTGTTCATAATTTCGTTTAACGACGTGCCGGCATTACCAATGCAATATAATTTTAGACAAACTTAACCGGAAACCTTTTTGAAACATATACAAATGATAACAGTCACATGTAGGTCGCACATAGGGTTAAACAAATTTAAGAAGAGCTATGTAAAATTCTCAGGAGAAACTAACATACCTTGAAAGCAGATTTAAAGTGTTGTAGCCTAAACTGTCTCTTGTAGATCTCAAAGTAATGAAAATCATGCTCCTTGGTAATAATTGACCAAACCCGAGGCTATATGGCTAAAGTATTACATATTTAGTATGAAATATTGCCTGTTTGATGAAAAACATAAACATGGGTCTAAAAACGACATGATGTGGGCTCACGTTTAAAACTTAAATTTATGTTGGAAAATGACTAGACCAAGGACCTATAAATCACGCAACTCTAATTTATACCCTTCTTATTTTCATTTCACCTGTATATAAAGCACTCAGAGTTGAGCGTTTGTGATGGCTTTTTGTATTGTGACAGTGATACATGATTTAACTAACATTTCTTTTCATGAAGATGTCGTCAAAACTTTACAGATATAATTCTTGTTGTTGATTTTTTATGTTACCTTAATTATGACCTATCTGATACCATAATGGTAGGTAGTTTCAAATGAAACAACTAAAGACCACTGCAAATAAAAAATATATAATAAAAGAAGCGTATCAATGTGAAAAAAGTAACTTACCTAATGATAAAATTATAGTCTACGCAATTGTTGGATAATCGAAGGTCTATAATATAGACCTTCGATTATAGTTCAATTGCATAAATCTGTAGTAAAATTACGCACAATTGCACTAAAAATGTCATTCAATAAATTCTTCAGGACTAGAGAATTTGTCCATAGCAATAAGACTGATTTTCAATGAAGGAAATTCAATTGTCCCAGAACTTCATCAGTTATAATTCAATTTTGTATTTTTGTGAAATATTGAGACACAGTGTGCTAGACAGACTGCCTAAAATTCCAATCATACCTTATACAATAAACATTTCTTTGAAAATTACCGAATAAAACACAATTGTTTGTATTATTTTTTCTGTTGTAGGAGATAAAAAGACTCAATGAAAAAGATTCTCCACAACAAAAAGAGTTAGAATATGAAAAAGCTAAATCAGGTATGTTATTTTCTCCCCGTCAAAAGCAAAGGGAATAATAGAAATCAACCCGTCCGTGTGTGCGTATGTACGTCCGCTCTACCAAAAATAGATAGAGGGTAATCACAAAGAGAACAATAAAGTTCGGTACATAACAACAGAGTTAAAGGTCATAGGCCATATTTAAACATAAGAACATAACAAAAGAAATTGAGCATTTCCTTTTTCAGTCGCATGTCTGTGTGTCCGTCCCAATTTTTTGTCCATGCGTTTATCCCATTTTTCTATTTTTAGTAACTGAAACCTTGTCTCAAAGGGGTCCAAAGGCAATCCTAACTGGGGTTTTCATATAATCTTACTGTATACCAAATGCTATATCAATATCCATTCCTAGTTTTTGTGATAATCAATACCTAATTTTTATGTGTGTGTCTATGTTCGTGGTCGTGCGCGAGCGTGAGCGTACGTGTACATGTGTGTGTCATTATAGCTTTACAGTAAATATAAAATCACCTATATATTTCCGATATATTTTCGAAATTGGAATTGTTAAAATGTTATTTATTCCAAAATGATATTTATTCCGGAGTAATGTTTTTTCAACATATCCTCGTGCGGATTGTCTGGCTAAAAGCATGGACAAATAAGTTAATATCTATAGCACGTTAATATCGGGTTTTTGTCAAACTGTGATCATAAAGGGAGACCTTTCAGGTATATAAAGCCACTTTGACAAAACTCGAATAAGGTTGTGCAGAAGGCCAGTATCCAATTGTTTATCCTACATCAAACAAACGACATTCAATTGATGAAAGTTACAGTAACTGCCTGTAGGGATTTTAGCTATTACACTGAGCCGAATTATATTTCACAAAATTTAAACAAAACAGATAAGATTAGGTTTTATGTTTTATTCCATTATATGATAGAATTTGTTCCAAATATCAAATAAAATTGAATCAGACATAAATATACATTTTTAATCAGAGCCCTTTGAAGAAATCAAACGCCCCTAAGAGCAAGAAATAACATTGTCTATCACCAGATTTAGCTTCACATTCATTAGGTTGTGTTTCCTCCGACAGCGCAATAATGGCACGCCCCTTGACCTTATGGATATAATGTATTTTTGAAGATACTGCTGTTGAAATGCAGCCCATACCTGGATAACATCTCTCTTAGGTCGGCAATATTTAACTGTTGTGACTGGGCTGTAACTCGTCTCTTAAGAAGATCCCACATATTTTCGATAGGATTTAGATCCTCTTGCAGGCTATAGGAGAGTCCTTTCATTATTGGCAGCAACATAGCAATGGTACCTCTAGCATTATGACAGGGTACATTATCCTGGGCTAAAATCATTCCACGATTCGCGCGAACAGGCATAATAAGAATTGGCTGGATGATGTCTGTTTGATATCTCAATGCATTTAGATTGTCTTGAATAGGAATGATTGCAGTCTTCGTGTGAATAGATACAACAACCCACATTAATATAAAGCCACCTCCGAACTGATCAGCCTGAAATAAGCATGCCTCAGAGTTTCGCTCACCTCGTCGTCTATACACACGATCACGTCCATCGGGTCCGCGAAGTTTAATTCTGGTCTCATCAACGAAAAAGACGTTGGCCCAGACAGCTCCTGTGAATTTCAAATGTCGTCTTGCTAGCATGCCCGTGTCTTGCAGTAAGAGTTGGGACTTTCCGTGGGCGACGCGCTCGTAAACCAGCTGCATTAAGACGATTTCTTACTCTCTGAGGATGAATAGGGCGATTATGTATGCCAAGTGTTTGCCTTGCTGTTCTTGTTGCCGGCATTAAACGATACGTAAGTGACTGAAAACAATGATGCGATTTTGTTGCTGTGTTGTCACTCTTCTCTTGGGACACCGTTGTATATCAACAACACTACGAATTAACCTGAACTTCAACCAAAGCTGTGAAATGTTGGAATGTGGTCGATTGAAAATACCTGAAACCAAAGGAGTGAATGGAAGAAGAGCGTAAATTATATAATCAATACTTGAGCAACAAAATGTCATTTTAAGATCAGACATCTATTAATGGAGAAGGGAATCCACTGTTTTATTAAGTTATGGTCAATATTAAGGTTTTTGGACAGATTTGCGGACCGACGGACAGAGGGACAGTTAAAAAAAGTTTGCCTTCCTCCGGGGCATTAAAGGTTGTACATGTATTATTGTAAATTATTATGTTTCATATTGACCAAATACCAGTCAAATACGCTCAACTGCAGACTTTATACATTAAGTGACGTAACTGTCGCAAAGACGAACCAGCTTGTAGCATACCAATGGCCCGTCCACGGTCTTGAACATTCATCCTAGCCATATTGTATGATTTTTAGTTAGGACATGTTCATAGGTCAAATAAGTTTCTATCATTTTGTGCATGAAATGCACGTGCTAATATCTATAAATAGGACTTAAGTTCCGCGACAATAAACTTCGCTCTAAAAACACGATGTTTTCATGTAGGATACTTCAAAATGACATTGCAATAACACTTGCAAATTTTCAAACTTAAAATAGAGCATTGCTGTTTTTTTCCAGAATCAAACGATATAGATTGGGAGTTTACAAATTTGTCTGAGTATATACTTCACAGTAACCGCTTTTAATTTCAAATTTTAAAGGTCAGAACAAGATTTGAACCATTGACGCAAGGTTTAGTAAATCATAATGATAAGTAACCATCACAAAGAATAAAAAAGTCAAACAAATTATATTTTATGCATTCAACACTGATACAAGGTTCCAGATAGACACATGTAGAGACTGTTGACATCACACTGCTCAATAAATGTTGTCTATTATAGAATTTCAGTCGACATAAGATTCGAATGTACCGCGCGATGCAGTACCTGATGATGATTCTACCTAGCGTTATGAAGTTTTCATCACAACAGACCCTCTTCTTAAAAATAGAAATGTATCAGAAACCACTAGACCAATTTTAACCAAACTTGTCAGGATTGTTCCTTTGTTAAAGGGCTTCCAAATATGTTTTGGTTCATAACGTTTTGTAGGTACATTCAACCACAACGAATAAAATTTTAGTTACTTTTAGGAATGATCGGCTAATAATTAAACATGATTTAAAAATTGAATGCTATGGCCGCCATTTTTGCTTAAAAATACCCTTTTAACAAATATAAGTAAAGTAATTTTAAACAAACGAATCTTAATGTTCAAATGTCTCAGGTCAATATTGCCAAACAATATCATTCTTGACGATACCAAAGCTGTTTAATATAATATGGGTTATATTGACAATAAAACACCGAGACACCAAGTTTCTATGTCAATAAGTTATAAATTTATCATATGGGAAATCTGGTTCTTACAAAGAAGCCACCCCCACCTGCACATGGTTATATTATGAATAATAGCCGAAGAATTCCGATTGGGAAAAATTATAACGATGGAGAATCAGGAGTTTCGATTAATATTATTCTCCGTCAGTATTTCTACTCCGTGATAACATTTTATTTACTTATTCTCAAATGTAAAATTTATAATGTAACGGTTCAAACATATAAAGCATATATCAAATTTTGTTCTTGTATGTTTTTAGTATTAATGAAGAATGAAAATGTATATTTTCAAGCATATAATGTATTAAATATTACGATGGAAATACTTCGTTTTGTATATGAATTGTATGACTTATATATGCAATTATTAAAACATGGTTTAGCTATAATTATGCATTGTTAAAGTCAAACATACTATCTGAATATAGTGTTACATGTGTGCTTCTTATTTTCCGTATGCATTATCTGATCCTAACCATGCAAAAACACCTCAGAATTTTATATATCATATAGAATCTAGCAAGATTGTCAATGATTACCATTTTTTTCTACTCTCTTTTCAGAACTTCAAGGCGACCTGATAAAATTCTACAGAAAAAGGTGTAGTTCAATACCCCTCTCACCGCTTCTTGAAGAAATGGAGACACAACTAGCCGGGTTCTACGTGATGCCAGATATAGTTGAAGTAAAACAGAAGTCTTTAACTAGTCATGGAGAGGAGAAAACACCGATCGAGTCTTTGAAAGACATGTTTTCAACCGGAAGAGGAGATCAGCAAGAAATTTATCTATCAGCTGATGCAGGCTTTGGAAAAACTGCTTTTTCAAAATATCTTGCAATCACATGGTGTCAAGCTCATTGTCGTGATGAAAACTATGCCTGTTTTAAAGACGACGAGTTAAAATGTTTATTTGACTTTACGTTCATATTTTTGGTTTTATTAAGAGACTGTACCTCTGTTTGTAACATTGACGATATGATTGAACAGCAAATTACTGAGAACCTTCCTTCAGCAGCATCACTAGATGAAGTTTTACGTAGAGAAAAATGCTTGATTATATTGGACGGTCTTGATGAATGGACTCACCCTGATAACAGCTACTGTAGCAAATTATCAGAAAAAATCCCACATCGGTTCGTACGTGATAATTGCATTATCCTAACGACAACTCGACCGTGGAAGCTTGGAGTTTCAAATCTCAAACTAACTCAAATAAACAAAAAAGTAGAATTGGTTCAATTATGTACAGATTCTTCGAGGCAACTTAAAGAAAATGCTATAAGAAAAATGACAGGTGTCCATGACGATGGAGTACTGAAGAGTAAAACATGGGACTTTAATAAAGAGATACGTGACCGTGGCCTAGAGCACATGCAAAGCATTCCACTCCTCCTCATGTATGTTGTTTGCTTATGGTGCAACAAAATTCCTATAGGAAATTCATACTATGAAATTTACACCAATATCATTGAATTTCTATTATCAAGAACGTCAAGTAAACACCCTGAAGTTCAACCATCTCGTGAATCGTCTACCAGTGAAATTCCTGAATACTTCAGGAGTCATAAATTTTGTAAACATTTTTACAGTCTTATTACATCATTAGCAGAACTAGCTTACCAAACATTATTTAATGAAACAAGAGAAAACACGCTGGTTTTTGATAGAACGGTTGCTGAAAAATATCTCAAAGAAGACGACATGAAATTAAGTCTTCTCTCAGGAATACTGTCAGAAAGTAGAAGTAAAACTTTAGTCAACGAAAATATCAAAGTATCGTTTTCCCACAAAACAGTGCAAGAATTCTTTGCCGCCATATTTATAAGTTCGCACAGTGTTCTAGAAAAATGTAGAAATATTCAAGACATTTTAGACATGTCAAAAATTTGTGAATTTATAAGTAAAATGAATGCTGACCGGATGTGTGAAATATCAGATGATTGGATGTCTGTGATAAATGAAGACGAGAAAACACGCGACTCTAGAACTAGGACAGGTGACGAGGACTCATTGTATAACATACAGAAAATGTTCATGTCGTGTTTACAAGAAATGCCTGAAATTGAAAATATTCAATTATGTTTGCAAGATTTCTTCATTGACAGGGACACCATGCACAGTAAGCAGTTACAACGTTTGTTAAAACAAAATAAAACCAACATTAAATCACTTCATATATACATCAGAGGTGCTTCCAGCAGTTTACGTGAAATTATAGATTTATTCTCTCTCACAGATCTCAGTCATATACAGAAACTTTACTATATTGGTGACGAGGAGAAGGAAGCTGAGATAAACCGGATATTGTTTTCCAGTTTACAGAACGTTACTTTGCAGGAAGGTAAATGGACAAATGATGAAGAAAATATGAGTGAAAACATGGTGCGATGTCAAAACTTACAATATTTATGTTTTTACAACTTCACGTTATCTCACAAAATACTGGAAACATTTTTCAATTGTATCTCCGGTCAAAAAACAATGAAAGAGTTAACATTGGAGGAGTTATACTGTAAAGAATATGGCGACGATGATTGTAGGAGATTGAACTTGGACTTGTCTCAACATTCAACTCTATCAGAGTTACAATTGCAGTATTTACCTGGGAGGCTAAAAGTAAATATATCAACACCGTCATTAGTTAATGTTACAATGAGGTACATCGTTCTAGATGAAAGTTCATTGTTACTGTCACGTGACATGTTGAATATTGAATATGTGGATTTGACGTGTGTAGAAATGTCTGCAGAAAGTTTACAGAACTTCATTACCGTGCTGGAAAAGCTGCCGCAGTCAGTTACAGTAAAGATGGCCGGCATTACACCGAGGACAGAATATAGACGTGTTAGAGAAAAAATTCGGAGTTCAAAAAAATTTCATATGATACACGACACCGACAGCAGGTGCGAGCCATTTGAGTTCAAAAAAACTAAGCAAAGACATTGTGAAATAAATTGAAGAGATTTTTTCAATTTGTTTTAAATTAGAAAAAAAATGGACACTTAGAAACAAAATGGCGGCTCTTCGAAATACATTTTAGTTTTCAATTATGACATACATGTACTCCAGTATTAATTGACAATTGATTATAAATAATAAAATTTAAAATAATAGAAATAATTCAACGAAATATTTTACGGAACTAAATTGATAGAAAAGTTGGATGAAGATATGGAAATATTTCACAGGTAAGTGATTTTATCTTTTTTTTCTTTTTTTTCTTTTTTTTTAATTATACATGCATATGTAAGAAGGGAAAGACCCTGATTAGATTATATTTTATAATTTAAATGAAACATTTTTTAACATAGACAATTAACAGATAATTACACAATGTATACATGGCATGTGTTTATCAATCACAATCTCTACATTAAACCTAGTCCGAACCAGCGCATACATGTATACATATATAGTTATAGATCTATGGTGTCGTTAAATTTAATGTTGATTAAAGGAATCTATTTTAAACTCTTTTTTTTTGATAACTTAATACAATTGCTTCTATTATATTGATGTTGTTGATATTGTTTATTTTTGTTTAATTAAAAATCAAAAAAGTTTTATGAATTCTTACTTACGAAAAGGTTATTTATTTATTGTTTTAGTAAGATGTTAATGTAATGTCATATATCTAAGTTACGTATTTGTAATTGTATGAGATTAAGTCTATTTAACCTCTACATGTGAACCAAGCGTGTTCAACTTATAGCCTTGGGTCTGCATTTGGCCGTCCAGCGAGGTCAATTAGTTTCGTTTTATGTTTACAATAATAACTTAAATTATCCAATGTAAAAGACAAGGGATAATACTTACATATTTGTGATGAAACATTATCGAGTATACCTTTACAAAGTTTATACAAGCATAGCCCTGGGGTCAAAAAGGCCAGGCCCCATGGGGGATGGGTTAATTGGTCATGTGGGTGGGTTAATTTGTCATGTGGGTGGGTTAATTGGTCATAGATTTTTCTTCATAACTTGCAATAGAAACCAGTAATTTCCGTACTTAAAACTGACATTCCATAGCACCCAGTGAATTTATTAGCAACCATTGATTTTTATAGTAATTGTTGATTTTTCAAAGAATCAGTGACTTCCATTGCATCGATTGACGACTTTTCTTAGCAACCATTGACTTTCCATAGCCACAATTTTATTTCAGAGCATGCACTGGCTTCCAAAAAAAATTGAATGTTTAAGCAACCAGTAACTCCCAAAGCAACCCTTGACTGTCCAAAGCAACCGTTGACTTTCCAAAGCAAACACTGAATTGAAAAGCATCCTTTGGATTTACTTAGCAACCTGTGTTTTTATAACCATTGACTTTCCATAGAAACCAGCGGACAATTATGTCCACAAAGGACTTTCCTAAGTAACAAGTTACTATCATAGCAACCAATGTCTTCCATAGAAACCACTAACATCCATAACAACCATTTATTTTCCTTAGCAACCCGTTATTTCCATAACATTCATTGACTTGGCAGAGCATCATTGACTATCCATAGCAACCATGAACTTTAATGCAAACTTTGATTTTTGACCTCACAACCTTTGATAAAAAAGCAACGTTTAACATCACTTTGCAACCAGTACATCTACTGTTGACATTCATAACAACTACTGATTTCTATAGCAACCTTTGATTTTGTATTGCAACCTGTGACTTCCAAACCAACCTTTAAATTTCTTTAGTAACATGTAATTTCCATAGCTATTCCTTGTATAGCAACCATTGATTTGCATAGCAACAAAAGTATACTAGTAAACTTTTGACTTTTCATAGCAACCATTGTTTTTCCATAGCAACTTATGATTTCCATAGCAACCATTGGCTTTTTACCTAGCAGCTAATGACTTCCATAACAATTATTAATTTTGTTAGCAACTTCTTTAGCCACGTTTGGCATCCCTAACAATAGCAATCAGTAACTCTATTCACATGTACACTATTTCAGATGCAGACATGAACTTTGTGATCTTGTGAGCTTAAGTTTTGAAAAAGAATAAAAGATATAAAATGTTTCGCAAAGTAAAAACGTTTATAAAATTTTTTTTACCGTTTCAGCGGCCTTGGATCAAAATTCCAAATTCTTTACGATGCAGAACCTCTTGTGGCGTTTTACCTTTATGACTTGAGTGGTGATATTATTATAGGATATGTTTTGAACAGCTTCTAAGGAAACAGAAACATGAACATGTTTCTTGCGTGTCAAGGTAAGACTTTAAATTACCTTTATTTTTGACTGGTCAATAAAATCCAAAATAAAGCAGAAAAAGTAAAATCGGAGTTGGCTTCCATGAAAATATGCAAAATGGGACTAATTCTTGAATGGCCGTTTTGAATAAATTTGTTGAACAGCTATCCAACTGTAATCTGAGTCCTTTAAGAAAACTTCTTTAAGACATCTGAAATTTTACATATTATTTTTGTAGTATAGTAAAAGTTACTAGTTGTTTCAGGCACATAGTCTATAGCAAAATAAACGTAAAAAAGAACGTGATGAAAAGGGTTTGTATTCCTTTTAGAAAAAAAAACAGGAGAAAAAAACGACAGTAGCGTAGATCGCTGTATTTAAGACGCACTGACCGTTTCCTTTATGTCTGGGTTAATTTCAGTGGTTAACATAATAAGCCGAGAAATGTCACGTAAACATTGCATTTCTTCTTTAACAGAAAAAAACAATGATTACTTTATATTTAATTTATATTTAAAGTCTATCTATACAAAATTCAGCGCTGACTCCGCTGTTAGGGTGAAATTTTAAATTATAATTCAGATTATTTAAGAGCGATTGGTTAATAACGTTGATGTTTACGCGAAGCTAAATCATTTACATGTAACTCATCTGGCAGACGGAAGGTTCGTGGTTCTGCTCGGATATCAGCTCGTGCCATAATAATTTAATGGAAGGTTCGTGGTCTTACCCGGTTATCTGAGCACGTGCCTTAATAATTCAATGGAAGGTGTGTGGTTCTATCCGGATATCAGCTCGTGCATTAATAATTCAATTAATTTGTTGACGGAAGGTTCGTGCTTCTACCTCGATATCAGCTCGTGCAATAATAATTCAATTAATTTTGCTGACGGAAGGTTCGTGGTTGTACCCGGATATCAGCACGTGCATTAATAATTCAATTAAGTTTGCCGAGGGAAGGTCCGTGGTTCTATCTAGATATCAGCTCGTGCCTTAATAATTCAATTAAGTTTACTGACGGAAGGTTCGTGGTTCTACCTAGATATCAGCTCGTGCATTAATAATTCAATTAAGTTTGCCGAGGGAAGGTCCGTGGTTCTACCTAGATATCAGCTCGTGCCTTAATAATTCAATTAAGTTTGCTGACAGAAGGTCCGTGGTTCTACCTAGATATCAGCTCATGCCTTAATAATTCAATTAAGTTTACTGACGGAAGGTTCGTGGTTCTACCTGGATATCAGCTCGTGCCTTAATAATTCAATTAATTTTGCTGACGGAAGGTTCGTGGTTCTATCCGGATATCAGTTTAAGCCTTAATAATTCAATTATTTTTGCTTACGGAAGGTCCGTGGTTCTACCTGGATATCAGCTCGTGCATTAATAATTCAATTAATTTTCCTAACGGAAGGTCCGTGGTTCTATCCGGATATCAGCTTGTGCCTTAATAATTCAATTAATTTTGCTAACGGAAGGTTCATGGTTCTACCCGGATATCACATTGTGCATAAGTAATTGAATAAATTTTGCTAACGGAAGGTTCGTAGCTCTACTCGGTCATCAGCTTGTACATTAATAACCCAATTAACTTTGCTGACGGAAGGTTCATAGTTCTACTCGGTCATCTGCTTGTGCCTAAACGATTTTATTAGGTTTGCTTACTGGAGGTTGGAAGTCTGCGCGTACCTAATTTTTTTTCATTTTTAGAAGGTATGTTTATTTGCTCTGGCAATCCACTCCAGCCAAAATCGTACATATCCAGTGTTTGTTTCCCTTTTAGGCAAAACAGAACATAAAACGTCAGTGTGTAACTTGGAAAATGTGAAAGCTAGAGTTAGAAAAAAATTCTGGTATCTGTACTGTTACAAAATGATATCATGTGACTCACTTATTTCCCATTTCTTCTTCTCTTTCCAGAAAATAAGCTTCAGTAAAGCTTTAGTGACAATGAAGACAATGCTTCTTCGAGAATTCAATATAAAGACCTTATACTTGGTTCCTGGCATAACAAAAACATACAATGAAGATATTGCTCTAAAAAAAGTTTCGAATAATCTTCTTATTCCTGGCTTAACCGGAAACAGACTAGCAAACTTCTGCATTGATTATACAATATACATTTAACTTCAATGAGAATTCTCGTGTAAAAAGAAATTACCACCAAGACGGCTGTGAAATATATTCCCGAGTTCCTTCAAAATATTTTTTATGAATTCCAGTCATACAGTAAATAAACATAAATTAAAAGTCAGTGTTAACACCGCAATTTATTTTTAAAAATCTGGTTTTATTGATTATATTTTTATCCAATCTGGGACATATAGTGGCACAAGCCACTACCGACTTGATTAACAAGTCTTCTGTTGGCGCCAAATTGACAGCCAATCTATCGATACAGTTTATATTATATATGCCTCAGTTGTAAAACAATACATTGGCAAAACATGTGCAAGTCATTCAGACACAAAAGGACGATAACATTATTTCGTTAGTTGGCTTATACTTTATTTATTTACCTAAAAATATACCCGTTCACAACCTTAAAAAAGACAAATTTGCGACTGTTTGGTCGAAAAGCGAACATAGCGCTAATTCACAGTAGCTTGTCCCATAATATTTTGCCCCAGATCCAATGAGATCATATGTTAAATTTGAGTTATCCTGCAGTGTCAGAGTTATCATAATTTTATTTAATTCAATTAGATATGCATGTATGTTTTCTTCTGCTATTAAAATGTGAAATGATAGAACAAGAAAAGTC